GCTGCACAGGAAATACGAAAACCCGATTGACTTGTTCGGGCTGCGTGTGCTACGTGTGCACACAAGACTTTAAGCTATAGCGTACAACACGCGGGCCCGTGAACGGGTGGATTAAGAAAATACTCGTGAACATGTCAAACCCGCACGGATCGTCGAACGCACTTAATAACGATAGTAAAATAATGTATGCCGTGCATTATCTCTTCGTATACGTCTTCGTGTGCGTCCGCATACGCGACGAACGAAATGATGTTCGAATCGATTGGTTCTGGACTGCGTTGTGTCAAACACTGCGAAGACGTTATGTATCGTGGCCGAGATGAATAGGACTGCAGTAACATAATTACTACATAAATGAGAATAAAAAAAAAATTATTTACGGTTGTCGTCGTTTTCGACGGACTCAATGATAAGTGATGGTGATCCGTGGTACTGTCTAGAAGAAGAAAAAGAAAAACACGTAACGGCGACGTAACTGCCGCGACGTCTCGAGAACTATTGTACTATTACGCATTTGACGTCTTTGTAAGAGCCGATCGTCTCTGCCACGGGTGTAGTACGGTCGGACGGATTTTCGGACCGTGTGTTCAGATCGCAGCCGACGATCGCGAAGCGGCGCAAAACACATCGCAGCGGTGACGGGTATGCAATTTATGTTCTCCGGTTATTACAAACATTGAACGTCTAGGGTGCATTTCGCGTACGCAACGAACTAATCACATAGGGCTGTGACGTATTATTACAATTGAAAAGAATAATAATTATAGGTACGAGACTGTATGTACGCGTACAATATACCTAACAGCATAATGCATTGGAATAAAAAATAAACAACAGCTGTAATGAAACGAGAATTCCAGGATAATTATAAAAATAAAAATATTTACGATAACAAAACGAACCCCGCTGCGAACACCGAATGCATGCACTCAGAGTGTTAGGTACCTATTACATAACATGTATGACCTTTTACGTCCGCACCTTATTATTATCTTACGAAAAACTCGAACTAGTACGTAGATCGAAGGGCGCTTGTAAATTGCGCCCAAATCAAGTAGGTAGTAAAAATACTATAGTAAATTGCGCCCTGCTTTTTTTTGATTCTAAAATAGGTAAAGTAAATTGCGCCCGAGATTTTTCGGGGTTTAAAATGAGTATAATAAATTGCGCCCATAGTATCTACTATTTAAGTAATCTTATATTTATAATTTTATGAATAAAATATTAGAGTTACAATCTGAAATTTATATAAAAATGAATAGTATAAATGAAAATTATAGGTTCATACATTTCATTTGTTCCTACACTTCAAAATACCAAATCAATAAAAAAAAAATTTCAAAAAATTTCAAAAAATTATTCAACAATACAATGAAAATACTATTATGAGGTGTGAAGATGATGTCTCATTATTATACAGATAACTTATAACTGTATTTTTTATTATTAATATTTTCAATCTAACAAAAAATATTTAAAAAATTATAGTTAATACCGTAATATTTAAAAAGAAAATTAATTTTCTTATTTTTATTAATTAAATTTTTCAATTCAAGAAAAATAAAAAAAAACATATTTGGAGGACAGTGATAGTCGCCTCTTTGTGGTGTCCTCTGGGTAATGCCATGTAAAAATGATATTTCTATTAGGCGCAATTTACTACACAAAAATTTATACCGGAAAAATACCGGGCGCAATTTACGTTTGCCCAGATCGAACTGTTAACTCCGTAGCTATTATATTCAAATGCGGTATGTGTATGTTATTTTTCAAAACAATCTAGGACAGTAGTTCGTCGTCTCGGTTTTGACGTTGGATCTGTAAAAAAATCAATTGTAATTCAATGCCATACATACATTTATCCATAAAAAGGCTTCAATTTCATATTAAAAGTTAGTAAAATTAATTTAATTGAAAAAATGGTGTTTACAGGAAATAATATAAATTAATGTTATTTTACAATTATTATAACAATAATAAAAACTTTTTACACGTAAAGTTATATTGAAATTATGTTTTTATTAAATATTTCGTAGGACACCTATCGAAAAATAAATGAAATTTCGATCGTTCGTATAAGTAAAAATATACTGTAAAATTTTCCGAATTTCTATGTACAGCTATATTAGTTCTACAAAGATTTATTTTTTTGAATCTCCAAAATCGTTTTTTTTCATCCGCGTTATAAGCATCGAATACCTGTCATCAATAAAAACATCACGACGGCTTATAGTATAGTCTCTATGCGTGACATACGTATAGGTACAGATGTATCTGTAATAATGATCCGGTTACCGATCAACAATATGGAGGAGGTACGACGTTTAATTAATCGAAAAAAGTGCACACAATAATATAAAATATACACTCGTATCTTATTGTAGAATATTCAGATAAAGTTATGTATTTTAGTATTTGACTCATCGACTGTTATTGAAATAAGTGTATCGATTATTAACTTTAACTTGTTAAAGGAAATGTAAAAGGTTTTTTTTTTTGAAGAAATAAGACGACGACTACTTTTCCTTTATCGTTTTCAAAATGTTTGCTATTATCGTAATAAATCCGAGTACAACTCTTTCAACCTTCAATTCGATGAAAACAAATAATCAATGTTTAAAAAACACATCGAAAGCTTGTACTTGTGTTTTAATATCTTAACAACAATGCCGTTTTTTTTTTTTAATATTCTTTATCATAGTTTGTGTTATAATAGGAAGGTATTTTCTTTCTTTTCATAGGAGTCTATAAATTAAAAAATTATATTGACTCATTATTATAACTTACTTCAATGTTGAAATCATTGTTTTACTTTTAAAAACCGTAATAGTTATGTGATAGAAAATATTTTCTTATTTTTTAGCTATGTATGTAACCAGTTATATAGAGTTGTACCGTACAATATTTTGATTTGGCTTATATTTTTTGTTCGTTCAGTATTATGTTTGATATTATATTTTAATGTTTTCTTTATTTATTAATTTTGCATACTAAGTGAATTTGTTGTTGCATTGCGTATAATATATACATCACTAGAACTGGAGAAAAAAAATTATATAAATTGTATTTGTAATACGGTTTTATTTTATTTGCATTCGGTTTTAGTCACGGATTATTGCGTGTGCCTGTATAATATCAATAAATCAGTAAAAAAAACGACATTAATGAAAACATTATGACAAAATATAATATATTATGATTATTATTTCATTAACAACTGCGATAACTAAACGAATCCCGACTCGAATGATGAACACTTGGTTTTCGTCGGTTACGCTACTATATCACTACAACGTTGGTTTTTCTACAGTCGTGCGCTGCTATTACCACAACTACTACAACTGCTACTACTATATGTATATATTACGTGCATACTACGAACACACAATATGTAATATTGAAAAAAAACGAATATCCGTTTTGCTGAAGAGAAAAACGGAATACAAATACATAAACTCCAAACAATACGTCATACGCGCACTTCACAACGGTACACGTTTCATTAAACGAGTATATACATGGTATAATGCGCGGAGTTAAACCCATGCGTTGTCGCAGCGAGGATGTGCAATGTGTAAGTGCGAGAGAAAATGCAAAAATGCAATTTTAAAATCCTTGTGATAACAATATTACTATACGCACACAGATATATATACGCGCGTAGGATTTTCTGTCCCAATATTTTTTATTTGCTTTCATACAGAAAAAAATCCTTTGAAAACGATCATATGTTAAATCTAATTTCGCGGTGCGACGTGCATCATCATATCGTTTACGACTACCCAGCTCTCTCTCACATCTAGCATTTCGTAACCACACCGGGGTTTCATTCGAATATTGAGCAACGAGGTCGATAACATTAAGTATGAGTATTTCTTCGTCCACGGAAACGATCAGGTACCATTTGTACATGTTATTATACGTGTAACGTATACGCCAGCGTACCGTACGCAGTCGACTTAACTTAGTGGCGCTGAAGTTATTTTAAAGTCGTAGGGCAAAATGATGTACATCTAATTCGAACACACATATTTTTTTCCGAAAACACGTAATAAAACTAGTAAGACTGACAATAATGTTATTATGATAGGGAAGACTCCACCAGAAACTCGTAGGAAGAAAACTGCATACACTTGTGTTTCAACACCCTTAATATAGGACCTCGCATCCGGTGGCGCCAAAGTTATATATTTTTTCCGAATCATGCGAGGGAAAGCGAGAAAACGAATTACCATATAATATGATCTATTACCAAACATCCACCCCTAACGATAATTTGTCGTAGAATCAGTATGAGTAATGCGATGGAGATAAGGTTCGACTTGGAAGTTTAAGCGGGGCGATTTGGTGCAGTACAGGCATGAATAACAACGATAACAAACGTACACGCGGGGTTTGGGCTAACTCCTCCACGGTCAACGTAAGGGAAAACAGAAAAAACAATGACCCATTCAGTATACAAGTATTGATATACTCGTATATATAAATGCATTTATTTTATTAAGATTTTGTAGGACATTGAGGAACAATACTGCCACCCACTATTGAAACTTATACAATACGAGAATGTCGTATTAAATGGGATTTTTAAATTTATAGTCAATTTTTAAAGAAGTGTAGCGGTAGCATGTGTTTTTAACTAATCCAGTTAATATTCAACAATAGTCAAAATAGGCGAACGGTGTATTTCAATTAGTAGAGTCCTTACGTCGAATAAAAACTGATTTGCACGTATATACGTATTTAAACGCAAAGAAGCAACACATCCAGTTGCGGTCCGGTCCTAGTCGTGCGATGTGGCATTTTGGAAATATTAATACTGAAACCGTGGACAAGAAAAAGAGAGAGAGTCGAGCAGTTAACAAATTATGTAAAAACTGTATATACATATGTACACAAGCAATCCAGAAGCCGCACAGGAGTCGGCGGTCAAACCGTTCCCGTATGTATTTTCCTACATGATGTTCGCGGTGACGTGTATGCGATGAGTGTATATTTACCAATGGAATCGCTGCCGGTCATCGTGTATCTCGGGTAACCGTGGTAGGAAAGGTTCCTGTTGGTGCCCAGCGCGAAATCGTCCTTGGTCCATTGCAGCTGACCGGCCAGATCGGCCACTCTACAGGGCAGCGACGCCGTGGTGTCCACGACCACGCTCAGGTCCTCGGGTTCGACCGTGAACGATTGCTGGTTGGGCGAGACCCCGGTGACGGCAGCAGTGATGACCGCATAAAAAATTATCGTCTTCAATCGTTTCATCATGCTCGTTCATCTGTAACGCAACAATGATAACAATAAAATCAAAACAATGACGACAATGAATTCCGGTTAAGTAGATATTACCGGAGAGACATAATATTTGTATGTGTACACGCGCAAGGTCGCAGGGCATTGACGAGTGTAAAAGATTAAAGTTCGATAAAATTTCAAGTTACTTGGTTTTTTAATTTTATTTTAATTTGTTGACTTTGTTTCCGTGACATGCGGAAACTATAATCAATTTATAAATCTTTTAGTAGTCTCGTGAAATGTATTTTTTTCAATTTCAGATAATAATAATTTAAAACTACAATTATTTGCATAAACTATTGTTTTAAGTACAAAAAAAAAAATCAAAACTAAACGTGTTGAATATTCTTGAATTAATATATTAAAATTAAGTACGTACATGTATAGCTTTATACGAATACCTTATAATTCAGTCAGAAAAAGAATGCAATTTATTTTTAAGTATAAATCGAAATACTTTTTTTTTCCTATTTCACTTTTACTAAATTTTAGAAGTTAACAGAAAGGATAAGTAACTAATAACTTTAAACCTAACTAACATTAATCATGATTAACTTAACGTAACGAGTTAACACGATCAGTTAAGGTAGTCTGCAGTGTAGGCGCTGTGCGTACGAACAATAAAACGTATTACCTCGTCGTATGTAGACGGGGAATTTTTCACGCGCAATAAAGTCTGGCAGTAATTATTATGCGTGTACAGCTACCACGGAGACGCGTTTCGAGACGCAAATGTGACGACCGGAACCACCACACGATCCAAGTTCATTCATCGTTGTCGCACAATAAACTGCGTACGTTCGCATACATAGATTACGATGTTTAAAATGAAATATATTACAATGTAGTAGGTTGCGCTTCTGCTAGCACTGCAAAGACGTCGTCGCGACGGAGGGACGAGGGAATACGCCGAGCATATACGCCCCCCGCAATATTGAATTCCAAAACGGAAGAAACAAAAAAAAAACGTATACCAAAAGGATGAATCGCGCTCGCAATTGAATATTTTTTTACCGCGTCGATAAACGCGACGTTTGTTTATTGTTGGTTCGAATAATATATACATTTGAGCGTTTCCGCTCAAATTTATGTATTATCGTCGTCGTCCGATTCGAACACGCGTTTCATTCAATCGATTTGGTCTAGAATTATATTAATAATAATAATAATAATAATAATAATGGTCGTTTACGTGGCTTTATGTGTAAAACACGTGAACGTAATAATTATATTACCGTCGTCGCCGAGGGCACGAACGGCTTTCAGGACACTCGATTGTGTCTTGCGCGACGGTAGGTAACGACCGCTCGTCGTTGAGAGTATTAACGATAAACACGAAATTAATGATTCGTCAACACACGCTATGCTGTACTGATACATTTTCGAGATAAATATTCCGGTAGTTATTTTTTTATATTTTGTATTTTAATTCTTCGACACCTGCAGTGACCCTTCCCCGTCACCCGCACATAAGATTAAGTTTTTTCGTTCAATTATTTTAATTCGTCAACGGCGCGCGTACGTATATATATGATAATACAAAAGACTTCGTCCCGATGGAATTTTGTTGGCGCGACACACTGTGATTTTAATCGAATCCGAAAATCTCATTATTCATTCTTTGTGCATCCTGGTGGTATTCTATAATATTATGGCATTGTGATCATAAATGGCCCAATCCGCGAGTTACACAATATCGTAATTGCGCGCTCGCGACGTCCGGATGTTAGATCTCGAATGATGATCAGTCTTATTGGTTTTGTACCATACGATGTTGTTCTTTATCAGTCAACACTTTTCCGTTCGTAAGTCCGCGTGCCGACGATTTTTCGCATGCAACAAATCTTCGCCAGAGAAAACTGCGTTCAAGAAATAAAATGCGATGAAAAGTTTGAAAATAGTTTTAAATTCGGTCCAGAAAGCGTTTATATCGTTACAATAAAATTTAAAAAGTCGTACAGATTTGTAATGTTTTATGGTCGTTGGCAGTTAAGCGACGTAAATATTGACATTTCACTTTCTTTTTGAAATTGAGAAGAGACGATGCATGGCTAGGGTTCTTTTACGTCACGATTGATTGTTCGCCCGCGGTGTAGTGTTTACGACTTGTCAGGTCGTTCGATAGATGTTTTATGACAGTATTTTTATACCAAAATCGAAATCGTGTGCGCGTAAAACCGTTATTCTTAAGCTCAGACCGGCCTGGGTCAGTGAGTGACTCAGGACCAGCTGCTACGGTGTTTTTGCAAGTAGTTTTCGTCCATACACATACGATGTCGGCAACAATCCGGTAACGGGCCTCATTAACCGCGTTCCGATCACTTTAACAAGATCAGAGCTCGATCATATCACACACGTATCGCATTCACTGTTATATAACATTATTGTATGTACGGCTCGACGGAATCATTACGACGATTACGTGCGTAAAGAGATTACATGGATGTGCCACTGCATTTATAGTACGACCACGTACGGTTATAGACGACGCAGATTTCGTGTAGTAACAAACGGTTACGAGTCACATTTTGTAATGTTCACCGCGCGCGCGCAGCGGACACGCCTTTTCGATTTCCAGGCCCAATATGTGTTTAGGACGTCCAGACGAACCACCGGCTAATAGATTAATACCAGTACATGTACGACGTGCGTACGAGATCACTGACAGCCGTACGGTTTTATCAGCTTTACTCGTTCTTCCGGTCTGCGGTCCGGGACGGAATTATTTGTGCGGTTTGTCGAGCGTCGGATAACGTACGGACGGCAAACGAGACGACGCGTTATTATATACGTGTCTGGTAGAAATCGATTTTTGAACACCTCCGAAGCTGTAAACGGCAGTGCCCACATCTTAACTGTGTGTGCAGACACTTATTGAAATAATAGACACGCGGGGCGAGGTGCTAAGCTTTAAACAATATACGAACCGTATAATTTCAACCGAACCGTACCGTATGATTTATCCCCGTCGAAATCCGTTCCGATTCGATGTTTATAGTATATTCAACCGAATATAACGACCTCAGGTTTAGGACCGTAAAAACGAAATCAATGTGTACCCGTAATAACAATGTGTGTTTAGCGTATATACGATACACTTGTGAGTTGTGTTTACACGTATTTTGCGGTTGTAGGACGATACGCACTCGTACATGTATAAAATGTACATATTATATTGGTTTACGCGCGTCGACGTGACGTAAAAAAAGGGATCTGAAATACAATTGGTGGACTTCAGACATGATATTTTTCAACACGGTGCGCTCTCCAATCGTACAGGTTATATTCTTGTGGAAAATATGGATTCATTGAATTCGGAAAAATGCAACAAAGCTCATGCTGTGCCGCAAAAACGAGAAAACGTGACGTTTTCGAAATCATTTTACCTGTAATAGTGTACTCAAAGCATCCGATTTCATTCGTTGAATTCAGTTCCGGAAAAATATGAACACACCGGAAAATGATACGCGTTCACGACTAATTCGCAGCCTCATAGCCGTGTTTTTGTATCGCGCGTTTTGATCGGTCGACCATGATAGAGGTTCGACTTTAGAACACTATTTCGAAAAGGGCGACGACGTACATTGATTGACGCGTGGCCAATGTTATTTCTACGTCATTCCGAGCATTGTACAAACATTGCGCGATATTACAATAACGTATCGGCTTCAAGAATTATCATAATTGTTATTTCTGTTTAGTAAAACGGTCTGGATCGTAAAAGCCATGTTAAATATGTTATCGAACAAACGGCACGTCATGCTAAACAACGCACTGTAGCAGCATACTATTATAATATACACGTGTTTGCCACCGTCGCTGATACGGACAACAAAAACGCCCTAAAATAAAACTAAAAAACTTATTTTTTTTTTTTTAATTTTTCGCGCGGATCGCACACAATATTATTATTATTATTGTTGTAATTATACAACGCGAGTGTGCAATAATTTCTTATCGATAACATAAATCAGTATTCTCCAATCGTCGATAAGAGAAACGTCAATGTGATGCCCGTTGAAAAACATTCGAATAAACGGCGTACAATACGCGTTATAAATTAAATAAACCATATGTCTTTTAACACCACTGAACTACTATATATTATGTTACCGTCACGAGCGACAACGTACATTATTATTTTTTTTTTACAAATGTATATGAAATGATAATAATATAGTTTATAATAAAATATATAACAATGTTTTGAAACATCTGACGTAAATGTTTTACTATTAGTTCGGCGGTTAACTGCCAATCTACAGGCGGCTGTATATACGCGGTATAATGTAATATTAATATTGTGTACTCGTTAAAACCAAGCTGCGATATGATCATCTAATGCACTAGAAACGAGAGTTTTATCGTTATTGTGCCGCCATCCGCGCGAACGGCAAAGGATCGCGCGGTCGAAGCTGCCCTGTCCGCATAGACATAACCTATACTATTCTAAATAATCTATCTATTAAATCTAAATAGCCTGCGCGTGTTGAGTTGTAAGACAATAAAACGGTATTTAATTTTACTGTGGACAAATTGAAAATATTATTCAGTCGTATCTAAATATTTATTTATATATTATACGAAACACATTTACACCGAGGTCTTGTTTCCGATGCGTATTCGATATTGTGTATACCTTATGGTTGAATATTAATTGGATAAAACTCACGTGACGCCTGTTATGTAAAATTTCCAACAGGTGTGTATTATAATAAAGTAGGTACAGAAATCCTTCACGTTATTACTATTATGGAGGTATACTTATACTAAATTGACTCTAAATAGCTATCGGTTAATAAAAATATGCGTAATCACCACGCATTACTACTTGGAATACTAATCGGTAAATTTTTTAGCGTAAAAACGCGATCACCGATCATCGGTTTATGTTTAATTTATTTTCTCACAAATTTTATTTATAATATACCATATTAATTATTGCAATAGCCGTTCGACCTGTTTATCAGGCGTGTAAATTAT